TGTAGGATTATTTAGTTTCTATGTCTTTGTATGAGTATGCAGATTACTGTTACTGGTGAGTTCAACTTTTATTCCATGATGATCTGAGAAAATACAAGGAATAATTTCTATTCTTTTAAACTTGCCGAGGTTAGACTTGTGACCTAAGATGTGCTCAATTTTGGAGGATGTTCCATGGGCTGATGAGAAGAATGTGTATTCAATTTTGTTAGGATGAAATGTTCTTTAGATGTCTGTTAAATTCAATTATTGTATGGTAAAGTTTAAGTCCAGAATGTCTTTGCTTAGTTTCTTCTTGGCGGATCTATCCAACACTGCCAAAGGAGTGTTAAAATCTCCAACTATTATGGTGCTGGAAGATATCAAATTGTTCATGTCTGTTAGGGTCTTGCTTGTAAATTGAAGAGCATTTTGGTTGGGTACATAAATGTTAATAATTGATATCTCACCATGTTGAGTGTTTCCCTTAACAAATATGAAGTGACCATCCTTGTCTTTCCTTACTTTTGTTGGTAATGTATCTGCAAATAAAATTGCAACCCCTGCTTTTTTCTGTTTTCAATTTGCCTGGATTATAGTTGTCCATCCCTTCACCCTGAGTCTATATTTATCCTTTAAGATAAGATGAGATTCTTGTATGTAGCAGATATCTGACCTGAGTTGTTGTATCCAGTTAGCCAACCTGTTCCTCTTTAGTGGACAATTTAAGCCATTCATATTAATTAAGAATATTGATAAGCCTGGTAGATTTTGGTTGTCAAGTTTTTCAAAAGTCCAGTGGATGTTTTTAATCTCTTTGCTACTGTGGAAGTTGGGTTTTAATCAATAATTTCTGAGTGAGTTTACTTTGGTGGTAGAGCATTGTGGTGGTCATTATGGAGGATGGATCTGAGAATATCTTGAAGAGATGGTTTAGTTATGGCAAATTTCTTAGCATGTGAATGTTATTAAAGTATTTTACTTCTCCATTATAAATGAAACTCAGTTTAGCTGGATACAGGATCCTGGGCTGAAAGTTGTTTTGTTTTAGGAGATTAAAGGTTGATGGCCATCCTCTTCTGACTTAAAAAGTTCCAGCAGAAAGATCTGCAGTCATTCTAACATTCTTCCCCTTGTAGGTTATGATTTTCTTACATCTGGCTGCTTGCAGGATTTTCTCTTTCATATTAACTTTGTTGAGTTAATTACAATGTGTCTAGAGGAGGCTTTATTTGGATTGAGTTGTGCTGGGTTTCTGAAACTGTCTGCTATGTGAATTTCAGTATCTCTTGCCACGTTTGGAAAGTTTTCCTCTAAAATCTCTTGGAGTAGAGCATCTGTGCCTTTCAGATCATTCTATCACCTTCAGAAATTTCAATAAGGCGAATGTTTGCTTTTTTGGAGTGGTCCCACAATTCTGTCAGGGAATGATCTGTCTTTGCTCTCCATTTTTTTTTTGGCCAGGGCTAGGTTTGAACCCGCTACCTTTGGCATATGGGGCTGGTGCCCTACCCTTTGAGCCACAGGCATGCCCCCCTTTTCTTTTGAGTATTTATTTTATTTTATTTTATTTTGGCCAGGGCCGTTCCTCTTCATTTCTCTTCCTCTTTAAGCATTTGGGAGTATTCAAAAGCTTTGTCTTCAGTGTTCGAGATCCTTTCTTCTGTCTACTCCATCCTATTACTGAGGGATTCTTCTGTATTTCTCAGGTCTTTGAGGGTTGCAACTTCTTGTCTCAATTTGTCAAAAATCTTTGGTGATTTTATCTTGGAATTCGTTGAATTCTTGAGCAAACTTTTGAATTACTCCTTGAACTTCTAATTCCAATTTTATTTCAATTCTGTTAATCTTATTTGCTAGCCAAATTCTGAACTCAATCTCTGACATCTCAGCCATTTGTTTATGTATAGGATCTTCTGTTGTATCTCCTTTGTCATACCTTGGGCGAGTTGATCTCCTCTGGTTATTAATGTTGCCCGAGTTTTTCTGCTGATTCTGCCCCATGGTTAATTTTCACCATCTGTTTACAGAGGCTGGTAAGATGGAATTAGGGCTCCTGGAGATGTAATTAATCAGCCCTTTACCAGAGTACTGGGACTGGTGACTGTGGCTTTCCCCTACGGCTTTACCAAGGTCCCGTTCAGTACTACAGCCTAAGACTCTGGGGACCCACTTGGTATGATGGGGCTAGGTGGTTCTGTCTT